AAAAAAAAAAAAAAAAAAAAAAAAGGGGGGTCCTGGCCGCGGGGTGCGCGGGGGCCTCGGCAAAACATCCAAGAGAAAGGGCGGAGGAGGGAGAGGGGTCGGGAAGGAGGGTCCCGCTCGCCGGCAGCCCAGCCCCGGGGGGACCCGTCCCCGCACCGAGGGGGTGCCCCCAACGCGCAACCCCGTCCTGGAGGGAGATCCCGGCCGGCCCCGGGAATGCGGGAAGGAGGGGTTGCTCGTCTCCATGGGACGGCCCATGGGGTGGCGTGCGGGGAGCCCGGGAGCAAGAGGAGGAGGAGAAGGAGGAGGGAAAGGGGAAGGAAGAGGAGGAGGAAGGCGAGTGGGTGCTGCCCATATACTCACTACACGGAGCAAACTCGGTAAGGAGAGACTCACTTGAGGGAAAGGCGCGGATCACCGTACGGAGCGTAAGGAGAAATGTTTAGGATAAACTCCTTGGGAGGGTAGGAGCTCCATTTCTGCTGCACTGTGTTGTCATTGTTATTCCAAAAGTCTCTGTCTAGATCGCTACAGCGGCCGGATTCCGGGGGAGAAAGAAAAGGGAAATACAAGAGAGAGAAGCTGAATTCCTGCGAGAGAGAAGGAAAAGCAGCCCTCCGCCCCCGGAGCGCCAGGATCCTGCGGAGAGAGACAGGGAGCCCACCCCTCGGACACCAACACACACACACACACACACGGGCACGGACAGAAGGATGGATGGAAGGATGGGAAGAGCTGCGGAGAGACGGGAGCGGGCGGCTCCACCGGCTGGGAAGGAGAGAAGGATGGTGACAGAGGTGTCGGCGAGCGCGGTGCCTGCACGGCATTCCCAAATGTGTGTCCGTGCGCCCTCGGCACGCGTGTCCGTGTGTCCTCGCCTGCTCCGCAGCCGGGTCCTGGAAGCACTCGGTTAACCATGACACTGCTGCGTGTTGGGGACCCTTGTGGATCCCTTCCCTTGTGGATCCCTTCCCTTGTGGATCCCTTCCCTTGTGGATCCCTTCCCTTGTGGATCCCTTCCCTTGTGGATCCCTTCCTGCGAAACCTGTCTCCTGCCAGCAGAACCTGGCAGCAGAAGCTGGATCTCCTGGCTCTGGGAAGCCACTGGAGCTGTGAGCCAGGGTCTGGGGGGCTCAGCAGCTCCCCGCTGGTGCTGGGAGACTGGAAAAGTCTCCAATGCCCACCTGCAACTCCAGGTTGATCCTGGCTTTATGGAATGTGCTGGAGTTTGGGAAAGCTGCCTGTGCCATGACATTGGGTGGGATGTGCCTTCCCCTCCGTTCCCAGCTCATCCTGTTTGACTGGGAGCAGCCGTCCAGGTGTCCCTGCACCCCGATAACACACAGGCCAGACATAAGAGGAAGTTTTCCATAGGCTTATTCCAGGCAGGTGCTTTCTCCCTCCCGGTGGTCCAGCTCCCTCCTCCCTGGAGGCCTGCAGAGGGTGTGGAGAGGCAGTGCTGGATCTGGGATGCCCAGGAGAACGCCCTCAGCTTCCAGCCTCCACTTCACTCCCTACCCAGTGCCGTGGAATGCCCCAGCTTGGCTCTCCGTTCTCCATGGAATAGCCTGTGGGATGCAGAGCCGCTCCAGCCCCACCGGGCAGAGCTCAGAATCCACACACCCAAGCCTGGAGCATCCCTGGGGATACCCACGCCGCTCTTCCTGTGACTCCATCATGCCCACGGCTCAGTGGGATTTATCAAGGATGCTGGAGACACCCACCAGCTCTCCCAGTCTCCTGGAGCCCCTCTCCCACTGGGAGAAGGGATGGCCACCTCTGTCCTTCCTCTCCCCCCCCCATCCTGGCACCTACTTGATGGTTTTCTTTTCGCTGCGGCCTCGGCTGGAATCCGGAGTTCCCACAGTCTCCAGGGAAGTCTTGTAACGCTTTCCCTGCGTAATGGAGAGGAGAGGGAGGTCAGAGAGTCACAGAGGACCCCTGCAGTATCCCAGTGGAAGATGGGAGCTGCCACCACGTAGAGAGTTTGACCTGGATTTTGCCCTTTCCCTTATGATCTCCATGTTCCATCCCACCCATCCAGGCAGAAAAATTCCCAAATGCTCCATCCCTTGGTCCTTGGGGGCTCATGCCCTGTGTCACCCCAAGGACAGCATGGCCACAGCCACCAGCATCCCATTCCATGGCCTCACTGGGAAGGAGTGGATAATTTTAAGCCTAATTGGGCCTGAATTAATTGAGTTCACCTTTCCCAGTGCCAGGAAAGTGCTGCCATAGGATAATGAAGCTGGAGCTGGCTCCAAACTGGGGCTGGTAATCAGGGCACTCCGGCAGGTTCCGAGCGCTGCTCTGAGCCAGGGTGGGCAGGAGCCAATTAGTGCCAATTATCCAACAATTGGGAGCGAGGATGCTCCATGCAGTGCCAGGTGGATGAGGTGGGATGGGAACAGCTGCTGGAGCAGGATGGGGTGGAGAACCAGCCCTTCCATCCCACTGATCCTGGATCTCAGGAGGCAGGCCTGACCCAGCCTGCCCATGGAATGGGAATGTTTCTCCTTTCTCCTTCTTCCCAGCCTCTTCACATCCACATGGAGCCATCTCCTTGGCTTGCAGGGACACCTGGACCCTCAGCACAGTGTCCTTGGACAGCCATGGGCTAATCCTGTTGGGAGCTGCAGGGCAACACCTGGACCTCCTTGGATGCCCGTGGACTAATCCTGCTGGGAGTTGCAGGGATGTTGGAACTTGGATGTCCATGGGCTAATCCTGCCAGGAGCTGCAGGGGAACACCTGGACTTCCTTGGATTCCCAAGGGCTAATTCTGCCAGAAGCTACAGAGATGTTGCATCTCCTTGAATGCCCAAGGGCTAATGCTGCTGGGAGCTGCAGGGAAACACACCTGGACATCCTTGGATTCACACTGGCTAATCCTGCCAGGAGCTGCAGGGATGTTGGATCTCCTTGGATGCCCAAGGGCTGATGCTGCCAGGAGCTGTAGGGGAACACCTGGACCTCCTTGGATGCCCATGGTCTAATCCCATCAGGAGGCACGAAGGTGCCTGACCTCGCTGGATGCTCATAGGCCATCCCAGAGGGAATCATGCCCCAACCCGGCACTCATCCTGGCTGTGGGGGCTCGGGGCTGGTGAGGGCATGGCAGCGGTGGCCGCGTGGGCACGGCCTGGAGCCGGCTGGCCAGGCTTGGCCGTCGCTCCCACACAGCCGCTCCAGCTCCGGGTGCTGTCGAGGGCCGGTTGGGATGCGCCTTCCCGGCCAATTCACACTTGTTTGTTCCTCTGCCAGC